ATCGTGCGATTTTTTGTTTATAGTTCACTCAACAAAATTTCAGTAAAAAATGCGAAGCGACTCCGTTCATCTTTGTCTATTTGGCGGCCGATTTTCAGTCCATCGCGCAACTGAAATGCATAAAAAAGATACGGCTTTAAAATTTTATTTATATGTTTTTTAAGTACAAAATGATAGAAAATAATTGTTTTGACATTGTTTTGGCCGTGTTGCAATAGCGACTTAATTCGGTACTCCTACGGAGTACAATTTACGCTATAATTGTACTCCTCTCGACCAATCAGAGTCGAGTAATTTTGTTGAGTGTACTATAAGTGTTTGCATTTGTATTTGCATTTGTATTTGCATTTGCATTTGCAGTTGCAGTTGCAGTTATATTATTTAGATCTTATTAACCGAGCGGGAGGTCTGTACGGGATAATCTTGACCGAGGTCGGAATGTACCCGACCGAGGTCAAGATTATCCCGTACAGACCGACCAAGCTCGGTTGATAAGAGTTTTATTATATGACCACTTTTCATTGAAAAGGACAAAATGTTTTCGCCGTAAGATTAATATGCGATCGGACCGGTTAATACCGGAGAATCTAGACCAGTCCGCGATGCGTCCTATCCAATCATATTGCTCGATTTGCTAGTGTCCAGGCTCTAAGATTCACGGTCATATAATAAATACATATATTAACCTGTACAACAATGATTCTGCAGAAAGATTGGACTCTGATGTTTTCTTTTAACAGGTAAAATCCTTCCACTACAGCAATGGATATTTAATGGTTGAAGTATTTCCAATTACTACAGTCTTCAATGGAACAGCAATTACCGAAATAGAGATAACAAAAACAATAAGTCATGTCAGACGTAAGAGGTTTGTTATTCCCATCTTTTCAAAACGTTTTCAAATGTTAGAGAAAAAATGGAATTTTGACTTTCCGGTAAGTACGATTATCATTTACCTTCAACCGTTTAGTGTGTGTGTGTTCTTATTCTTAATGGGCCTTTATCACACGGCGGCCATGTTTATTCTCATGAGAATAAAAACCTTTGTTTCACCCGCATAAATTAATTCTCAAGCGCTTGAATTTGAGGCTACGCGTAGTGGAATCTATTGTTCAATCCAACATGGCTGCCGCGTGAAAAAGGCCCATGATAAAAGTAATGTATGTTGTTGTRTTCAGTACAAAGTCATAGCTGTTGGCAAAGATTTACCTATGAATCTTTTAACCCCAGGTGCCTGGCAAAAACACTATTGGATTCTTTCTGCACTTAAGTTTTGGATTTACGGTTGGAATGCAATTGGAAGTATCGAGTATAAGGCTTAACAAGCTGAAGCGACCAAGTGTACGACTTGCTCTTTTTTTGACAACAGATGCAGCAGCTAAAATCGGTGTCTCATTAAAAACTAATCTTGAGTAAGTCTGGACTGCTCAATGCACTATGCCAAACAACAACGACAACAAACACGTCAAAAGACAACTAATCGAAATTGCAAACTTAAGGAGGCTCTGGGTAGTTTTGGTCTGGCACACCTAGCTTTCAAAGTTTCAAAGCGACTTGCACCAGTCGATAGTATTCATCAAGGCACCCAACATATTGCAATATGAAAAAAATGTATGAGAGCGTTTTTCAAATATTGCGCGATGAATATTGTCATGGACTTTTACTATTATTTCCAGCGTGTCAACTTTATACCGTAAAAATCGGGACTTTGATTTAGTGGATTCAATATTTTTAGTAGCTAGAATATAGGTACGGATATAGACACTGTCCTTATTGAGTATGAATCACATTGTGACTTTCTTTCTAACGTTATGGATTTTTTATATGAAGCTAAATGACCCCATTTGCGACATTCAAAAAATTGTCGAACGATTTTTTTTCTAAGTGAAGTCACTAAAAGATGTATCTTTTACAAATATTCTCCTTTAATTTCATATGCATTGAAGAGTTTTAGGGCAGTCAAATAAAAATATGTACGCAATACAAAAATATGCAATATATTGGGTGCCTTGATGAATACTATCGACTGGTGCAAGTCGCTTTGAAAGTTTAGGTCTAGTTTTTGAGAAAATAAGCGGTAAACGATTTCTATGATGTCATCATTACGTCACAATGAAAAGGCCGCTTTAAACTAATTTACCATTTTTGAAACCTTTATAGTCCCTATCAACTTTCTGATAATATTCTGAGTATTGATTCTACATGGGGTAAGATGTGGAATAACCCGAAAATATTTCATAGTTTGAGTGCGGCTTCTTGAAGTTATAAAAGTTTTTCCATGCCATATGCAAATGTTGGTTATTCGACATCTTACCCCATGTAGAATCAATACTCAGAATATTGTCAGAAGGGGGATAGGCACTTTAATCCTTTCCTGACATTGTGTGAAAAGTGCTTGCAGATCGAGTTATTCAAGACGAAGTTGTAGCCGTTTCAATGCGACTAGGTGTGCCAGACCAAACTAGCCAGAGCCTCCTTAAAGTGTTGTATCACTACCTTCAGAATAGTTTCTTACTCATTTTTTTTTTATTTTCCTCCTTTTTTTTTGATTATTTACACTTACGTATAGTAAGAATACTTTTAAGTGTATTTCAAGGAAAAAAATTATTTTTCAAAATCACTAAATGTGAATAGTGTAGTAGTAGTAGTATGGTTGCAGTATTTTTGTATGTGGATTTCTCTTTTCAGAGATATAAACATTTGAAATATCAATATACAAATGAGATGACGTAAATTTAAGAATGGGTTACATTTTGCGGTGTAATTTACAACACGTGTTCTGAAGTGAAACAACCTAAAAGTGTACGAAGCCATATATTTTAGATATAATGATTATTTGCGAATGAAAGAAAACT